CTTTTGGCATTTTTTGGTCCGTGCGCGATTTTGAGACACCGTCGTGGCGACTGTACCTCTATGGCCTTCTGGAAGTTCGAACATGGATTGACATTGACAAACATTGTTTATTTTTATAGTAGAGGGTTTTACGGCGCTCTCAACTGCATAACGTCATATGAGCGCCAAGGGGTGGGTGTCAACAGAGAAGTCTTTACAGGGAATCAGACTTACTCTGTTCACCTCTCTAGCTTCAACAGCACAAGGTCTGCTTCGACTATCAAGGCCTAGAGGTGGGCAAAATCCGGATAAATATCCGGATAATAGGATCATCCTCAATAAGATATTATCCGAATTCAGACTCTTAACTTTCTTTTTTCCTGACCCGTTTGCCGAAGTGGGTGTACCCATTTGTTGAAATGATGCTACCCGCTTGTCGAAGTGGTTTTAACCGAATTTGCCGAAGCGGTTCATATCATATTATTTGCCGAAGAGGTGCATTAAGATAGTATCCGGATTTTGCTAAAGCGACTCATTGCCCAGCCCTATCAAGGCCCCCCCGGAAATAGCAGGTCACAAGAGAGTGACAAACATACAAAAGAAGTAGAGGAAAATGACAATAGTAAGGATTAGGAAAGAAAAAGCCGCAGTTCCCTGTTGTAGATCAGGCACAGTTATGAGCGTGACATGAATCAGCCCATTTACAATTCTACTGTGCTTGAACGAGAAATGTCCCCCCTTTGGGAATGGCCTAAAGACACTACAGTCAGTGGCACTGCCCAGGGGAAATTGACAAACATTGAATATTGGATGGATCTAAAAAAAAATAATTTAAAAGGCCCATTTTTTAAATCAGCGCCTCATAATTAATCTGTTTGCTCGCGAGCACCCTCATTTTTGCGATATAAAAAAATACATAATATAGACTATATTAAATGTTTTTTTAAAATCTAGGAGGCTAGATTTTTTAAAGTGAATATTTTGGTTTGCCTCGATGTGGTTGAGACGACTGGTAGACAAACGCGCACGCGCGCACGCGCGCACACACACACTCGCACGCACACACACACACACACACACACACACACGCACACACACGCACACACACACACACACACACGCACACGCACACGCACACACACGCGCGCATGCGCGCACGCACACACA